TAGATAGTTCTAAATCGATTAAAGTTATAAATATTTTCACTAATGTTAACTTTAAAACCCTTTACATCCAATCTCTCAAGATTCATTTTATTCTCCATCACACTCATTTTTTGGTTTATAATTTAGGTGTATTCAAAAAATTATTGAAGTACAATCTTAAATTTTTTCAATTTACACAATATAGCTTGCTGATAACATTTCCAAAAGTTCATTTACACCAAACTATAAAAATTATTATTCTCAAAAAAAAAAAAAAAACTTCTTAAAAGTGCCTTAATTAAATCCCTCAAAAGTCCAAGTCAAACAATTTAAGATATTAACAATGCAAAAAATGTTTTTCTTTTTTTTAGGTTTTCCTCCAACAATTAAAAATCTAGAAGAGTGAATGCTTCCAAAGTTTTGTTATGGCTTTGTTGGTCAAAAGTGGTGGGTCTGGGCAGGGCCTGTCTAAGACCTTAGAATCAAAAGCATCAACAGCACAAAAACTGAGAAAGCCTTCAGAACTTTGTTGAAAGTTCGAAGGTTTAAGTAAAATAATAATAAAACTTAAATAATTTATTTGCAAATCTTAAGTTTCAGTTTCATTGCAAAAAACTATTCTCTTTCTAAAATTTTTTTTTTAAAAAAACCAACTTTATTTTTCTTACATATGTAACACTTTGCACATTTATTGACTTTTGTATGATTACATGTAAAATCTCATACATTTTGTCCCTTCTTAATAAAGCGTGTGGAAACTTTTCCCTATTGGCCAACACGGTTTTAAGAATGCGACCAACTTTGAGTTTTATGTATGATCCTATTTAATTGCTTTGGTGTTGATATGTTTTAGTTGGTGCAATTTAACTTAATTCCTCTCTTTTATTGCTTTAAACATTTGACTCAATAATAAAAAAAAGTCTTCAACCAGTTTGTTTCATTAAATTTTGGTACTAAACAAATTTATTGGGTTTTTATCACATAACAGTTAATGGAATTCAATCTTCCATTGTTAATATTTAGAGACTAATAAATTTTTATTATCTGAAATGATTTAAACTCGAAATTGTCAAACTTAGACTTGCATTATTGGTACTTTAAAACCCAAGCTATGCTATAAGATTTAAAGAATCATAGGCCAAAAATGGAAAAGACAAGGAAACTTAGATTGGGTTATAACAATGGTAGTTGATAAGAACATTCGATCTCATGGGCAAATCCATAGGATTTGAAAACATGAACTGCTCAATAGTCAAATTTTGAACAATTCAATAAATCAAACAAGGTTCTTATATATCATAGTTTAATTATAAAAGCATTCGACTTAAAGTTTGATTTTAAAAATGAATGAAGTCCAAGAAAGTGTTTTGATTTTAATAGATGGGGACCCTTAGAGGATTTGTTAATGTCATGACTATAGTTGGTGGACTTGTCTCTAAAGGCATATAAAGAAAGTCATCATGTCACGAGAAAGTATTTTACACATCAATTTTAATCTAAATTTTAATTTATTCATTAATATCAATATGGATTGAATAACTATTTCATACAATTTTTTTATTTTAATGAAATTTTTTCTGAAAAATATCATGTGAGAACTTCTTGAGATGATCATTAATTAGAGAATTTCCTACATATGGACTTAAAATTTTGGCTGCTTAAAGAAATAATGTCTTATTAATATTGCTTGCAATGAACTACTAAGGAAATCATACTAAATTGATTTAGACTTTAATATTTAGGTAACATTTGGTATCATTTTCAAGTTTACCATAGTAATGTAATCATCAAAGTAATCTTATTACCAAGGTGATCTTATCATTTGTTATTTGAGATTGTTTTATTTGGTTAACAATCATTAATCTATATAAATTAAAGATCATTGTGTTTGATATTACTTAAAATCAAATATTATTTTATTTAAAAATATGAAAATTACATTTTTACTGTAATAATTACACAATTTAATTATTTAAATGTTGTTTAAAGATAATAATTCATAAAACATAGTAACATTTAATTTAATTTATAATAAATATAATTAAAATATTAAATTTATTTATTTATTAACTAAACTAATTTTATAATATAAATTATGTAAAAAAAATTGGAATTAAAAAATAAAACTAATCTATTAAAATCATAATAAAAGACAAAGACATTATATTATATATAAAACATTAAAAAAATAAAAATGTACAAATTATTTTTGAATTTGTTATAATGAATATTAGTTTGAAAATATAAAAATTTATAATATAAAATAATTATAATTTTAAGAATAATCAAAATTTTAATTTGTATATTAAATGGATAATATTAATTATTACTAATTTTATGAATTATTTTATTTCAATAATAAAAGTTTTTCATCTTTTTAGATGAAAATTAAATCCCTTTCAATACAGTAATACAGTAATTTAATCACTCTCAATGATCTTAAATTATTACTATGTGAGGTCACTAAATTTTGTTAAACACGGTGATCTAATCACCATGTACAAATCCCTATGATTTTTAAAATAATTATCCTATACCAAATACTATCTTAATTTAGATCTAGTCACTTTCATCAACAAACCAAGGAAAACCAAACACCACAAGTAAACATGCAATAATGTTTTCTTGCCAAACCAAATCAATATTTTTATATGTAATTAGAATGATTTTTGTGCTTCAATTGCCGTTCAGCATATTCGGATTGCCTTTAATGAGGTTCTGAAATAGACATTTTCCCACAGTTTACATTTGAAATCAACCTCAAATTTGTCTGAAATATGATTTATAATATATTAAAATTCTTGTGATTCAAATTTCACCAATTAAAAATGCTTTTTGATTGTCTTTTATATCTAATTTTTTTATATTTTAATGTCTTGGTGGCTTTCTAAGTCAATCTGCATGAAAGTGATATCATTAGTAAGTAATTCCTTGGTAAAACAGTCCAATTTAGCCAAAAGAAAGCTGAATTATAGAATAATCTGGTTAGGTTAAAGCAATAATCATCTCTCAAGTAGTAATATGTTGACATTCATTTCAATTTTTTGAGCCAACAACGTTGCACTTCGTGGTCTATTCATGTGATTTTGCAGCTGTCGAAGAAATTTGATGTTGTATCTTGTTGTCCATATATGTTTGACATACACCTTTGCAACCGCATATATTGCTTGTATATTTGTATACTGTAGCTTACTTTATAATTAAAATTATGCTTCTTCTAATGTTCGCATAATATTTTGTGTATCATATCTGATTATTTAATTTAATGGTAGGTACATTAAAATTGAGTTTAATCTTTTTTAAAATATATGTACGTGTATGTGCGTACACATAAATAAGCTGAATTTTAAATTTATAGCAAGATTATTTTGTTCGAGATATTTTCTTAACTTTTTTTTTTTACAATGAAAATAAAACTAAAGGATAAAAAAAATATTATAAATATTAAAATTTGAATTCAAATTTATTAAATGTCATATTTTAAAAATAATTATATAGATCAATTAGACTAAATTTTGGCTTCGTAGCTTTCTTTCTTGGTTGTTCATTAGCAATATTACTAGGCGGCTATTTAATTTTGGTGGAAAACGGATAAGTAATAGATTGGGGTAGGCTTTGAGGCAAATCTTGCTGAGGAAAAGTATTCACATGTGCAATCCCATCCAAATTTATGATGTATGTTGTTCATGCGTAATGCATGTTTGTGTGTTGTAAAAAGTGAGAAAGAAGGCATAAACTTAATATTTTTAGACCTAATAATTTAAAATATGGTATGATAATATAAGATGAAAATAATACAAAAATAATGATATGGATTAAAATTTTAATAATAACTAAAATATAAATTTAATAAAATTAAAAAAATATTTTTTATATTTTTATATCGATACGAACTATGACACGTAATTTTTATATAAAATATAATATAAATACATAAATTTAAATATTTATATTATATAAATACATATTCTAGGGGAGACTTTAATTCCATCTAAAACAACCAATAAATTCAACCAAGGTGTTCTCCTTTTATTTATTTTTCCTTTGTTTTGGTTCATCTAGAGACTTTAAATTCTACTCTTTCCCTATTTATTCGGGTGACTTATATCAAGCTTCAACCATGAGTAGCATGTAATTTTTACCTCCAAACACATCAATTTCTTTTACTATTTTTTTCTTTTTAAATTTATTCCCTTATTTTCTTTGGTATTTATTTTTTTATTCTAGTCAAGTCATGTAGGAAACTTACCTTACTTCCTCCGTCGACTTGGACACAAACAAAGCCTAACACCAAATTCTAGTAAAATTGAGCCTTAATTTTCTTAATATTTAGTCAAAAGAAAATTTCTCTCAACTAATTATATTTTCCTAACCAAAATTTTTAAATTCATAAATCAAAATTTAATTCAATTGATTCACTCGAGTCAATCTTAAAATATAATATCCAATAAATTTTAAATTTTATGATATATATATTTTTATTATCTAGAGGTTAAGATCTCAGTTACCTTTCAAATTCAACTATAGACAAAGCCATTAGAGGCCTAGTAGGGCTCAAACCCTCGTTGGGGCCAAAAAAGATGTTTTCAAATATTTTTATTGATTTAGTTTATTTGTTGTTAATATTAATATTAATTTTATCAATTATTATTATTATTATAATAGAAAGTATTTTAGCAACAAATATTTTGAAGACTCGTTCTGATAATTGAGTGAGAGATTAATAGTTAGAGAGATAATTTATTTGTGTATATTACAAAAATGCGTTTAAAAATATTGATAACAAAATTATTTTATAACGTTTTCAAAATATGAAATGATAATTTTACAATTTTTAATAATTATAATTGAATATGTATATTTTAACTTTTATTACTTTTATTATTATTTTTAATAATTTAATATGTATGAATTAAGCTTCTCGCTAGATAAATTTCCTGATTTCAAATTCAATGTGAAAAAAAAAAAAAAAAAGGACAAAATTTGATAGAATAATTTATGGCGTAAACATTCCACTTAACCCAATTTTATTCTCCCTTTTCTCTTTCCTACTCACAAACTTTGCACGCTAAACACAAACAATGCAAAAACCGACCTTTCAACTAAATCAAATCTTTTCTCAAAATCTCTGATATAACGGTCTTCAGAATTCCAAGGTTTTAAGCAACCAAAGATTAGCTCCAAATAACATCTTAGTAGCTGACATGCTCTTTTCTTCCCTTAACTTTTTTTTTTTTTTAAATTTTGCTTGTTTTTAAATAAATGCTCACTTAATTAGGTCAGATTTCAACTTCTCTTGATCCTAATTTTCATGCAAAATCATGAATTTCGTCATGTTTTTGGGGTTTGGGTTTTTTTAACAGGTATAAAGTCTATTTTTGAATCAAAAATTTCAAAGTTAAAATCAGAGTTCTCATGGACTTCTACTACTCTGTTTCTTGCTCTGTTTTTTTGCTTCAACTTGAAAAAGCAGAGGTTGATGGTTTATATTGATGGGTACCCTGAAGAAGTTTTTGATCAAATATCCATTTTAATTTGAAGAACATGAGTTCTTTTTATGTGTTTCTCTTTCAAAAGATGCTTTCTTTTGGTGGGTTTTTCTTGGTCTCCATCTCTGTCCTGTTTGTCTCTCTGTTTGATTTCTTCAGAACAGCTTTTTCCAGGTAAAGCAATATGACTTCACTTTGTTTCTTAAACAATGAAAATAATGGTTTCCCTTACTTGAATGATGTTTTAATATATTTTTCTGCTTTCAGTACTCAAAGGAATAAGCTTCCTCAATCAAACAATCCGATACCTATTGAGCCTGAGGATGGCACAGAAGAGAAAACAAAAGAAGCCAAACCTTATGATATTGAATTAAAGGGTGAAGAGAGTGAAGGGGTTGAAGAAAAAGATTCACCAAAATTCTTTTTCAAGTTTCAGTTTCAAAGCCAGACTTTTGAAGAATTCAGCATGAAGTTTGGAGGAGATGAGAATTATAATGTTGGCCTAGAACTAGAATGTATTCCTTCTGCAAGCACAAACAAGTATGAGTTCAAGCCAGGGAATGATTTTAGTTATATCATGGAGAAGCCGAAGGATTTGAGCTTTTGTGTCAAAGAATTGTATGATGAATCCAACAATGGGTTCTTGTCAGAAGAAGATTTCTTGGAACAAAATTTGGAGGATGAAGCTGTTACCGAGGAAAAAACAGCGAACGAGGAAAAAGTGCCAAAGACTCTGGTTGAAACGGAACAAAGTAAACAAACTGGCCGTGAAAAAGAAGCAATTGATGTGGAGAATAATTTTCCAAGTCAAGAAGATGTTTCAGGGAATTTTCAGGTTCTTTCTGAGACTGATATGGATTCTATTACTTCAAGTCCTGAGTATATGAGTCAATTTATTGGTTCAGCTAGTGATGGATTTTTATCAGATAGAGATTTTGAAGAAGATTCTGAGGTTGATTCTTCAAGGAACATTGATACAGATAAGGGAAAATTAACAAAGGAAGATTTGGACTCTGAAGAAGATGATGATTTTGATAATGAAGATAGAGATATAATGGAAGAGCTTAGAAAATTAGAAGAGTCTCAAAACCTGAATGAGGATTACAAGCAGGAAGAAGTTAGTGGCAATGACAATGGATCCTCAAATACTTTGGATAATTCAGAAAAGTCCAATTTAGACAATTCATTTGCTTCAGATTCTGAGGATTCAAATGGTTTGGAAACTTTGTGGGAGCATCAAGATCTGATAGAACAGCTCAAGATGGAGCTGAAAAAGGTTAGAGCCACAGGCCTGCCTACCATCTTAGAAGAATCTGAGTCACCAAAGATAATGGATGATTTGAAACCTTGGAAGATTGATGAGAAGTTCCAGCATGTAGATAGAATGAGTGAGCTTCACAAATTCTACAGGAGTTACAGAGAAAGAATGCGAAAATTCGATATCTTGAATTATCAGAAGATGTATGCAATAGGTCAGTATCCTTTTAGAACTATTTTCTACACCTTTCTTCTTTCAGTTCTAGCATTTAGACAATTATGTTGTTCAAGTATTGGTTTAACTTTTCATTTATCTGCTATCATTACAAATTCTATGCATAATTATGAACCATCTTCCTTATATCTTTTTCTAGTTAATCAATCAAAATGAATAAAACATTAACAGTCTGTTAGAAGTTAGAAGAAAGGACCCACTAAATCTGCTATGTTGGTTAAACAGAAGTATGAACCTGCTCAAATCCTAAGCATTGGTGTAATGATTCCATGAAAGTAGGAGGAAGGAGGGATTTACGTACTAGTTCATATTACCTTTTGAGTTTTTGGAAAGTTGTTTCACTTTTGGGGTTTGTAAGGAGAAAAAACTTCTCTGAAAACGCGTATAAATGTTGGTGTAATCCTCTTCTGCTAGGGCTTTTTTAAATTTCATAATTGGTATATTTATATATTATTTATATACATATAAAATATTAAAATGTGTTGTATAAAATTTATGTTGATATAAGCATATTTTTTAGTTTTTATTAAATTTATATATAAATTTTTTAAAATTTTAAATTATATTATTTTTATATTTTTTTTTAATTATTTTTGTATTATATTATCATGTTATATTTAAAATTATGAGATCTGCCTTTTCAGAATTGTTCTATAAATTTAATTATGAATAATTTACCGAAGAATACCCATATGGAAATCAAGCTAACCCATTTTCCCTTTATGACAGTACTTTTAGTTAGTTGATGGTGCTATCCAGCCAGCCAGTCTACCTTTAGATTTCAGCCTAGTTCCACAATTTCATTTAAGACACCGACTTATTATGGGAAAGCTTTACCTAACTCTCAATTCCTACTGAATTCATAATAAAAAATCTGCAATGTTTTTAATGCTCCACAAAATCTATTTCAAAGCTGGTCTTTCTGGTGTAAAAAGCACTATAAAATTTAAATGGTGGAAAGAAGACAGCTTTTGGAAAGCTATATTGCATTAAAGGAAAAACTTTGATTTTTTTTCTTTTTATCTGATTTACGAGTGACTTTTTAGGTTATGATTTATGTATAGGTGGCCAATAACATCTGCTTTATACCTTTTATATTAAATTGTATTTTAAGTTTCATGTTTCATGACAATTCGTAGGCTTTCTACAGTCAAAGGATCCACTTCAATCAATTTCAAAACACAAATCATCCTCACCTCCAGCAATTTCATATCTCCTCTCCCAACACCTGAGGATAGGAAGGCGAAAAAAGTCTGATTTCGACCCCATGACAAAGTTCATTAAGGAGCTGCGTAGTGATTTGGAAATGGTGTATGTAGGACAACTGTGCCTTTCTTGGGAAATACTTCATTGGCAATATGAGAAAGCAATTGAAATATGGGAATCTGATCCTTATGGCCTTCGTCGATACAATGAAGTAGCTGGTGAATTTCAACAGTTTCAAGTCCTGATGCAAAGATTTATAGAGAATGAACCCTTTGATGGTCCAAGGGTACAAAACTACGTCAAGAATCGATGTGTTCTACGTAATCTCCTTCAAGTTCCAGTCATTAGAGGTAAGAACTCTTAATCCTGTAAATGATATATGAAGCATTGTCTATTATTCTATACCCTAGATACTGACAGCATACCAGGTTATTGCATGTTTCCTAATCCAATTAGACCCCCTTAAGCTAAGTGGGGTCATCGGCAACCGCAACTCAATGAGTACTCTTTTCTTGATTAAGCAGCAAAAGTGTAGGAAACATTAGCTGATACAAGCTTAATTCTGGTGTAGAGGATAGTATGAAGGATAAAAGGAAGGCTAGAAGAAGAAGAAGAGAGGATGATGATGCAATTACAAGTGACATGCTAGTAGAGATCATGGAAGAATCGATAAGAATATTTTGGCGATTCGTTCGAGCTGATAAAGATGCAAATATTGTGATCCAGAAAACCAGGAAAGGAACTCAAGTAGAACCATTAGAGCCAGCAGATCTTGAACTTTTAGCAGAGGTTCAAACAAGTCTGCAAAAGGTAATTAGTCTTTCAACAGCTTTGATCAAAGCACATAAAAATGGTGATTAGTTTTATTTGTACATAACATGTTTCTCAATTGGAATTGCAGAAGGATAGGAAGCTTAAAGAAATAGTAAGAAGTGGAAACTGCTTATTAAGAAAATTCAAGAAGAACTTACAAGGGGAGAATTCAGATCCAGTCCTTTACTTCTTCTCTCAAGTGGATTTGAAATTAGTGGCAAGAGTTTTGAACACGTCAAAAGTGACAAAAGACCAACTTTTTTGGTGCCACAATAAATTGAGCAAGATTAATTTTTTTAATAGGAAGATAAATGTAGCACCATCATTTTTGCTTTTCCCATGTTAATATTTATGAATGAATAATATAGTGTTTTACAAATTGAGCAAGATTGAGGCCTTCTTTGTACAAAAAAATAATATAGTGTTTCCATGTATATTGATCCCTCTTGCTATAGCCAGCCCCTATGTCACATAATTAGCCATAAGTTTATTAAAATTTTGTTACGTGTAACTTTCATAGGTTTGATCTTTGATGATGTTCATTAGATTTTCTTTTTTACTTTAAATTTTAACTTTCCTTTGTTCCAAACTGGTTGACTAATTTTAGAGCCATTAACACCAAAGCTAGCTTATTACATTATTGACTAATACTTATATGTAGGCTAGATTTGATTTAGGTTAAAATTAGATTAATTCAATATTATAAGATTGGTTTAGAATTAAGCTTAATAATCTTAAATATGACATGATGATATAAATAAAAAATATAGGAAAAGGACACAAAAGAGATCATAAAAATAAAAAAATAAGTTTTATATTTAATATGTTGAAATGAACTGGATATTATAATTTTTATATTTTATTTGTGTTTGACACGAAATAGATATAATATAATACTAATACATAAATTATCAGATTTATTTAAAAATAAATTGAATTGATTTTAGGTTCCTACCTATGTGGTCCAGTGATAACAATCTCTTAAACATTATGACAAATGGACCAAAAAAATAAAATCTAAATGTCTAAGCATCAAGATAAGGACATTAAAACTCTTGACTATTTGTAAAAGAAAAAAAATTAAAAAAACAAAAAAGCCTCTTAATTTTATCATTTTATCTATAAATTTTTATATTTTTATTACATTTAAATAAACTTCTGAATTTCAATTTGCATTTAGATAAGCTCTTAACTTTTAATTTTATATAAATAAACTCTTAGCCTATATTTATATCTAAATAAATTCTTAATATAAATTAATTTTTTATTTAAAATAAAAATTTATTTGAGTATAGTAAAAATATATAAACTTATTTAAAAAAAAACAAAATTCAAAAACATTTTTAATAGTTTAACCTACAAGTATTTAAAGCCTAGGACTGGGAGCAAAGATGAGGTCCCCGATTGGTGTTTGCTTCTTTTGGTCAATGAAGTCTTTAACATTATAAGTTGTAATTTTTTTGACAAAATGAAATATTAATAGTCATTTTCGTTATGGTATGAAATGAGAAATTTTGTCAAAAATCAAGATTTTGACGTTCCTTCTACTCTTTTAATTTTATGCCCATGAATCCTCGAAGTATTAATGTAGCATAAAAGAAATTTCGTTACCTGTTAGCTAGTAGTTCATATTATGTGAAGCTGAATTTATGGGGAAATTGTGTTTGATGGGAGAGATTTGTTGTGTAACATCTTAAATTGGATTGCGGGGTTGTTCATTTCTAGGATTTCAAATTTACAAAAAGGGCAATGATAAAATTTGGATGAGATTATGATCTGTAAAATGCAAATTGGCATACCACATCAATATCATCTATTTATAGAAAACAGTGCTTAAGTGGTCAATTCAGAATTTTTTTAAAATGTTTATTTATAATACATATAGATATTAAGGATTGATTTATTAATTTTATTCATGGAAAGTGTATCAAGAAGAAAATTTTGAGATGTCCAAAGAAATTAAATTTTTTTTTTTGTTTTTCAATTTTTAAAAATATTCAGAACAAAATTTTGGAATGTATAAGAGAAAATTTTCTTTTAAGTTTCCTTCTCTTATAATTTTTTGGGGTGTCCATCACACCATTTACATCCATTTCACTAATGAAATCTTGGTTTAGTGGTACATAGGATGTTTTAAAATCTTGAAATTCTAGGTTCAAGGTTTATTGCGTTTAAGTTTGATTATTTAGTTATATTATAATTTATTAATTGATTATTCAATAATTATGATTTAATTATGATATAATAATTAATTATTCATTTAATATATGATAAATTTTAAACTCGAACCTAACTCAATTCCTAATGATTGTTTAATGAATAAAAATATTTTATATTTAAATTTAATCATAAAATATATGAAATATTAATACAAATATATTTTTTTTCAATATTTTAATATTTTTAACAGTAATAAAGCCTATTTAAGTCTGATGGACTAAGTATTGAGCAAGAGGCTTTAAACAATAATTAAGCCTCAGCCCATTCGGTCCATGAGCATGTTTAATCCTTTTTTGATCAAAATTTTTTTTAAAGTTTCTTTTATATTGGATTACAAAATGAAAAGTTCTTTCATATTATGAATCTCATCTCATGTATACCATCATTTAAATTGAATTCAAAATTGACAATAGAAATTTAAAGTAATTTATCGTAGAATAAAAGGGAAAGTATGTTAAAAACAAGGGGAAAAAAATCCATAATTTCAAGGTGAAAATTGATCCAAAGGATGAATGAAACAAATGCATATTGGATATTTTTTTTCTTAGATCCAGTGATCATAGTATAATGGAGTAGTAAATTTTAAATTGCTTTGAAAACAATTACTACTGATAAAACGTTTTATAATTATTAAAAATGACATTGGATAAAATATCTACTAAATTTTAATTATCTAAGTCTAAATTCTTTAGAAGTTTTGAGTAAATTATATTTCAACCTCTAACTCAAACTCATTTTTAAAAACTTCGAATACTTGATTGAAGTGACATATTTTTAGGTTCGAATTGCTTGAGAAGTTAAGAAAAAGAATTTTTTTATAAATTTATTAAATTTAGCATAAATAAATTTATTTAAATCAATTAAAAAAATTATATAAGATAAATTAAAATTCTTTCACCACTCAATAAAAAATAGATTATATTTCATTTTACTCTTGAATTATTGTAATTGTTTTAATGTTATATTTAAATTAAAAAATTTCTAACTAAGATTTAAACTTTAATTCCATATACCCTTAATACTTTATAATAATATTGATATAATATTTAAATGTTAATGTAAATGACATATGACTGTTATGTAGTAGTAATATATTTATTATGTGTCATTTTTAAAAGATAAAAAATAATAAAAAAAATTTTTCTTAAAAATTATATTTTAATTTTTTTAGTTTTTAAAAAATAGCATGTGATAATCATATTTAAATCACGTGATAGCCACCAATTTTTCACATCAACATTTAAAATGGCAATCAATGTTATTTTAACTATGTTAAGAGTTAAGATATCTTGATACACGAAAATATAATTTAAATATTTAATTAAAATTTTTTATTTAGATATTATATTAAAAAAATATAATAATTCAAAATCAACTCAAATAATATTTCGTAAAAAATAAGCATTATCTTAAAAAAAAAAGTGAATAACCGACAAATTAAAAAAAAAATCAATTATTTTATCTTTAATATTGAAAAACACAAGCATTATACCAAATTAGAACCGTCAGATCTAGGGTTCCATCCAAAATAATCCTCTTTATATATTTTCTTCTGGGTGTCTAATGCTCTTTCGGCGTCGGCTCAGTCTCTCACGTCTTTCCTGAAACAGTAGGAGGAGAAAAAATAAAACCCAAAGCTTTAAAAACACAAAAAAATGGTTCAAAGACTCGCTTATCGCACTCGCCATAGCTACGCTACCAAATCGAACCAACACCGTGTCGTCAAGGCCCCTGGTAAGTCTTGAAGTTTCAAAAAAGATGCTGCTTTTGGTGTTCCGTTGTTTTTATTTTTATTTTTTGAAAATAATGCTCTATTTTTGAAGGTGGGAAATTGGTTTTTTAGACTACTAAGAAGAGAACAAGTGGGCCTAAGTGTCCTGTTACTGGCAAGAGAATTCACCGTGTATGTTCTTTCCTTCTTTTTTTAATAAAAATTTGAGTTCCATTGTTTTGTTTGGTTAAAGCTGGATTTTGGGTTGGAATTATGAGTTTTTATTGTTGGGTCGAACTAATGCTTAGGAAATATAGAACTTTGTTTAGTTGATTGAGAAAAATGATGATTTGGTAATAAAAATAATATTCTTCCTCTGTTTATTTTGCTTGATGAATTTTGTGTTCCAAATTAAGCATTGATTTCATATACTTTTCAGTTTAGTTTTAGATCATAGTTTAATATTGAATAGTTATAAAATGGGCAATGATGATTGTTAGTTGTTTCTATATTTCTACTTTTGTTTAAACTTAGTGCTAGTGCTGATGTTGTAGCATGGAAAGTGCTTTTTTTTTTTAAGAGTCTAAATCCAAAATTAAGGTTGTTTTCGTCAAAAATGTAGGAATTGGCAGCGATCATGCCTGATGTTGCGCATCCGTATACGCCTATGTGGTGGAACCCTCTATATCATTTTACTAGAAAGCAATGTACAAAATGTGGCACTTTATTAGCATACTTACTGTTATATTACGTGGCAATGGAAAACTTATCGACAAAAATAGAAAGCATGCTTTTGTTATGTTCTATAATTCAATGTTTTTTACGTAGTCTTTTTTGGATCTTAGTGAACATTTACGAGTCAGATTCAAGTTGTGAAGTTTTTGAACATGCTCTCATGTTTTTTCTGATATGGCTTTTATACAGATTCCTCACTTGAGGCCTGCTGAATACAAGAGGTCTAGATTGCCTAGGAACCGCAGGACTGTGAATCGTGCATATGGTGGTGTTTTGTCTGGAAGTGCTGTTAGAGAAAGGTAAAATATGTGCATTATTTAGCAACTGTTAATCGGTTTTGGATGCAACTGTTGTTCGTTGTTGGTTGTGACTGGTGTAAATCTTATTATTTTCTTTTCTTCCTTATATCTTTCTAAGGATAATTCGAGCCTTTTTGGTGGAAGAGCAAAAAATTGTGAAGAAAGTTCTGAAAATCCAGAAGGCAAAGGAAAAGCAAGTCTCAAGAGCTAGGAATTTAGATGTTGAGAAGCTAAATTATGTTTGGCTTGTTAGATCCACACACAGAAATTTTGTTTGTTATTATGGTGTTGATGAAATGTAGAACTGAATTTCAATGATTTTCCTTATGGTTAGTTTGATACTGATTAGTTTACTGCTTGTTCACTTGACGACAAATCAATTGCCAAGTTATTGTTGAAATGATGGTTTGTTACTTTATTATTTTTGAGTTGGTTTCTGTCATTTGGCATTAAGCTTGTTTATAAGGAAACGGAACGCTTGCTATTTCCAGGCCAGGGTTATGCAACCGCTCAGAAAGTCAGACCAAATCGCTACTTGCTGCATCATAGAAGCTAAAAGCCTAAAACCAAACCCTCCTTGATAA